CCATAGCCCCTCCCCATGGCTGGCCGTGCCCCAATTGTGGCAGGCCGGCCGGACCGCACTCATGCACGATTCGTGCACTGGGCCTCTAGTGTTAAATAAGAGTGGTGAGAGTTGGCTTCTTTGTCTTGTTCCTGATCTTAGAGGAAAAGCTTTCAATTTTCACCATTAGCTGAGGTTTTGTCATATGTGGCCTTTATTATATTAAGGTACTTTCTTTACCTATCTTATTGAGTATTTTAATCATAAATGGATGTTGTATCTTACCAAATGCTTTTTCTATATCTATTGATGAGATAATATGATTTTTATCGTTTCTTTTGTTAATGTGGTGTATTACATTGATTGATTTGTGTATGTTGAACCATCTTTATGCCCCTGGAATGACCACTACTTGACTGTGATGTTTTATTTTTTAATGTATTGTATTCAATTTGCTAGTATTTTATTTAGGATTTTTTCCTCTGTATTAATTAGAGATATTGGTCTATAGTTTTCTTTTTTATGTGTTATTCTTGTCAGATTTTGGTATTAGGGTTATGTTGGTCTCATAAAATGTGTAAGGAGCATTGCTTCATCTTCAGTTTTTTGGAAGAGTATGAGAAGGATAGATATTAGATCTTCTTTGAATGTTTAGTAGAATTCACTAATAAAACCATCTGGTCCTGGAGTTTTTTTGTTGTTGTTGTTTAGTTGTTTTTTTTTTTGTTTGTTTTTTATGGTTGCTTCAATTTCCTCTCACTGTTGATCAGTCTATTTATATTTTCCAGTTCTTCATGATCCAGTCTAGGAAGGTTATATTTTTCTAGGTATTTATCCATTTCTTCTAGATTATTGAATTTGGTGGCTGACATATAGTATTTCTTAGTATTCTAGTATGATCCTTTATAAAACAGTAATGTCTGTGGTAACTTCTCTTTCATTTCTGATTTTGTCTATATGACTCTTTTCTCTCTTTTCCTTAGTGAGTCTAGCCAGGGGTTTGTTAATTTTATTAACCTTTTCAAATATCCAGCAATTTGCTGTATTAATTTCTTCTATAGTCTTTTTGTTCTGTATTTCATTCAATTCCTCTCTAATTTTTATGATTTCCTTTTTTTCTGCTGATTTTGGGCTGCTTTTGCTCTTCTTTATTAGTTTTTTTTTTTAAATATATGTATCTTTATTGATTTCAGTGAGGAAGGGAGAGGGAGAGAGAGAGATAGAAACATCAATGATGAGAGAGAGTCATTGATTGGCTGCCTCCTGCATGTCCCCGAACGGGGATTAAGCCTGCAACCCAGGCAAGTGCCCTTGACGGGAATCGAACCCGGTACCCTTCAGTCCGCAGGCTGATGCTCTACCCACTGAGTACCAGTTAGGGTATTCTTTATTAGTTTTTTAAGATGTGATATTATGTTGTTTACTTGAGATTTTTCTTGCTTCTTCAGATAGGCCTGTAATGATATAAACTTCCTTTTATTACTGTTTTCACTGCATTCCAGAAGTTTTGATATGCCATATTGTCATTCTCTTTTATCTCGTTATATCTTTTGCTCTGACCTTTCATTTCTTCTTTTAACCCAGTCATTTTTTAGTAGTATTTTGTTTAATGTCTAAATATTTGTAGGGGTTTTTACTTCCTTTCTGCAGTTGTTTTCTAATTTTAAAACATTGTTGTCAGAGAATATGCTTGGTATGATTTCAGTCTTCTAAAATTTGTTAAGGATAGGTTTGTGTCCCAACATATGGTCTATCCTTGAGACTGTTCCATGTGTACTAAAGAAGAATGCATATTTTGGTGTTGAGATGAAAAGCTCTGTATATATTGATTATGTGCATTAGGTCTAATGTGTCACTTAACGATATTTCTTTACTGATTTTCTGTTTGGATGATCGATCTAGAGCTGTTAGTAGAGTATTTAGGCCCCCCACTACAATTGTGTTTTTGTCAGTTTTTCCTTTTAGTTCTGTTAGTAGTTGCTTTATATATTTTTGTGCTCCCTGACTGAGTACATATATATTGAGAAGTGTTATGTTTTCTTAATGTACTGTCCCCTTCATCATTATAAAATGTCTATCTTTGTCTCTTATTACTTTTGTTATCTTGAAATCTATTTTCTCAGGTATAAGTATGGCTATACCTGCTTTTCTATGGATTCTATTTGCTTGGAGATTTATTTTTCACTTTGAATCTGTTTTTGTCTTTGCAGCTTAGATGTGTGTCCTGATGGCAGCATATGGTTGGGTTTTGTTTTTGATCCTGTATGCTATTAATTACCTTCTTATTGGTGAATTAAGCCCATTTACATTTAGGGTACTTATTGATGTATGAGGATTCTCTATAATAATATTATTTTTTGTTTTCTGGTAGCTATGTGCCTTCATTGGTTCTTATCCTTTGTGTTTCTGTCTGTTGTTTTTCATACTTTTTTCCTCTTTTTTTTTAAGTTATGTATTTCTGGTGTGTGTGTGTGTGTGTGTGGTTACCATTAGGTTTATGAAAAAGAAAGTTTCATGTATACAGTAGTCCTTTTTTTAATGCATCTGATATCCATCCTTCTTTGCACATTGAGACCTCTACCCCCTCTACTTTTATGTTACTGTTATCACAGATTATTTGTTTATGCTGTAAGTCTGTTGATGATCTTACTCATAGTGTTATGACCCTATGCTCTTTGTTTCAGATAGAATAACCCCTTCAAGTAATTCCTGCAATGGAGGTTTTCTGGTGATAAATTCCCTCAGCATCTGTACATCTGGAAAAGTCTATTTCTTTTTCATATTTGAAGGATGACTTTGCTGGATATATTATACTAGGCTGGTAATTTCTCTCTTTCAGTAGTTTGAATATTCAGATCCACTCTCTTCTGGCTTGTAGCATTTCTGCTGAGAAGTATTATGATATCCTATTGGGCTTTACTTTATGGGTTACTTTCTTCTTTTTTCTGGCTGCTTTGATAATTCTTTCTTTGAAATTAATTTTGGCAGTTTTAGTACAGTGTGCCTGGAGAAGGTCTTTTTGGATTAAGGTAATTAGGTGTTCTGTTTGCTACCTGGATTAAAGGAATTAGCTCTTCCCATAGATTTGGGAAGTTCACATCAACTGTTTGTTAGGATAAGCTCTCTGTTCCCTACTCCCTCTCTTTTTCTTCTGGAATACATATTATTTCTGTATTGCTTTCTGATGGAGTCAGATAGTTCTTGTAGAGTTCTTTTGTTGTTGTTTTATGCTCATGCCTCTCTCTTCTTCCCTCTGCATTATTTCTAGATTTCTATCTTTGATATTACTAATTCTTTCCCCATCTGGTCCACTCTACTTCCTATGCTCGCTAGTTCATTCTTGATCTCTTTTATTGAGTTCTTCATCTTCAGAATTTCTATTTGGTTCTTTTGTAAAGTTTCCATTTCTTTGTTTCCTTATTTGGTGTCTGATTTTATTAAACTGCCTATCTGTTTTCTTGAATCTTGAGTTTTTCAGAACTGCAATCTTGAATCCTCTGTCATTTAAATAACATATTTCTATGTCTTTAAGTTTATTTTCTAGTGATTTTCCATTTTCTTTCTGAGCTGCTTTGTAACCTTGGCTATTCATAGTATTCAATGGATTCCTTCTCTGTCTAGGCATCTATGTATGATTGGCACTTTTCTAATAGATTGGTAAGAAGTCTCTCTTTGTTTTCCAGTAGGTGGCATTGGGTTATAAGTTTTTTTTTTTTTGCTCTCTTGCACTTCTCTGGTTTTTCAGGTTTCTGTGGGTGTGGTGGAGAATCGCCTTTGTTCTCTGAGAATGTGGGCGCTTTCCCTGAGATCCAGTCACCCAGGTCTCAGGAGACTAATCTTATATAGGGGAACATGGTGGGCAATGTGGCTCCAAATTTGTAAAATCCCAGTGCTGTCTCCCTTGGCCATACGTTGTTGGCAGTGTAGCCTCATTGTGCAGTTGTGGGGTGAGCTGAGGGAACCAGGCTACCTTCTTTATTGCTTTACCCTCTGAGCAATGGCAACCAGTGGACCTTCGCAGCATTCCCCTGAACCTCCACCCAACCCTGACATTAGTAGCAGGGTTACATTATTCGTTTCACTCAGGGAAAAAGTGTTTCTGTAGTACAAGTTCTCAGGTTTGCAGAAAATGTTCTCTGCAACCCTACATGATGGGTGAGGGGAGGTATGCTTTTGGTGGTTAAGGGAAGGCGGCCGGGCTCCATGGCCAAATAACTGTGGCTTTACTTGTGTGTTTCATCCCTGCCCAGGTCACTGGGCTCACCTGCAGCTTATACTCTCCACTCCTGCGTGAATGCTGACTAAATCTCTTTCCTCCTCTGTGTTGAAGGGAGTGCCGTTCACAACCTGACTCCTCTTCTCTCTGGGCTGAGCCCTGCAGTGAGCTTCTGGCTGCAAGGCTGAGTCCATGGCTCCTCGAGCTCTTCTCACTTCTCCCTTCCCCTGTTCACTCCCACTTGCTCACCTTTATATGTTTCAATGTGCAGATCTCAGTTGTGTTTGTGAGTTGAGCCGGGAATCCTTTGTTGAATTTTAGCTGTTCAAATTGTTGAAACTTCAAGGGGAGAGACCAAGGGGCTCTCTCATGCTGCCATTCCTCTGATGTCACTGAGATGAGAAGTAGATTTTTAAATGTCTTCATATAAATGGTCACTTAGTCCAATGGCTGTATAGTTAAGTTTTGGTTTTTATAGCATACATATCTGAGATTTATGCCTGCTAACCATCTCTTCCTCATCTTTAACAGATTGCCAAAATCGAAAATGTCAATCACTTGTGTGATTTGAGAGTTTTAAACCTTGCCAGGAACCTTTTAAGTCACGTTGATAATCTTAATGGGCTGGATTCACTAACTGAACTTAACTTGCGGCACAATCAAATCACTTTTGTGGTAAGTATTAAAATGGAACCAATGCGTGATTCCTGGCCATTCCTTTAGGGCAGTGGTCGGCAAACTGCGGCTCGGCAAACTGCGGCTCGGCAAACCGCGGCTCGTGAGCCACATGCGGCTCTTTGGCCTGTTGAGTGTGGCTCTTCCAGAAAATACCAGCTCTTCCACAAAATACCAACTTCTGCGCATGGGCCACGAAGTTTCAGTTGCATTGTACGTGCGCTCCCGCACGTGGTATTTTGTGGAAGAGCCACACTCAAGGGGCCAAAGAGCCGCATGTGGCTCACGAGCCACTGTTTGCTGACCACGGCTTTAGGGAAATGAAATAAATATTATAGCATTGATTTGTGCAAAGCAAGCAGCTAAGGTAATTCTGTTTCCTTCTGAACTTAAATTGCAGACATAATTATTAAGCTTTATATTTTTTGATTTTGGGAAGTATTTATGTGTTTTCTATTTTAAAATATAAATATAAAATTAAAAACAGAATAGAAATATTATCAGTAAATGAATCAGCCAGTGTAAATGTATACTGAATCTTTTTCTGTTTTATCATGGGTATAGAATTCATATGAAAGAAGTTTATTAATGAATGCTGATGAATTGTTGCAAAGGGAAAAAATAAGGAGTTTTGGAGCTGTGAAGGCATGCATAAATATCATATTCTTTGCAATTTTTAATTTTTAAATCTATTTTTATTGATTTAAGAGAGGAAGGGAGTGGGAAAGAGATGGAAACATCAATGATGAGACAGAATCATTGATTGGCTGCCTCCTGCATGCTCCTTACTGGGGTTCAAGCTTACAACCCAGGCATGTGCTGTGACCAGGAATTGAACCATGACCACTGAGCACACAGGCTGGGCTTACTGCAATTCTTAAACAGGCAGCTTGGTATAGTGGAAATGCTTTAAAAAAACAAGAGTTGGGTAAAGTTTCTTATTTATCCTTATATGTATACTCATAATTTCCTATAAATTAATATGCATCATACTTTTTATCCTGACAATGATACTATATGTATAATGTTTTAAACTTTTAGAAATTAATATAATTTTGTTCCAGGTGAAACTGCCATTCCTTTTCCACCTCTGGTCCTACTGTAGTAGTTATTAACTATCTCCATAGATAAAACACCTGCACTCTTCATCCTTCCTTGACAAATACTCTATTTAGAGACCAGATACCAACTCTCCAAATAAGGGTTTCCTCCGCCACCTGCTCTGTAGGTGGTTGTATGTGTGCATGGCTGGGGTAGAGTTGGGCTGGGGGTGTGTGGATTTGTTGGTATTTCTGGAATAGCTGTTGAGTAGACAGAACTTTAATTACACTTCCACTTGATTAGCCACAGTCAACCACCAGTCCACACCTGTGCTTTGTATGTACTGATTTGGAGCATGGAGCAGGATGGCATTCTGTCAAAAAGGATTGCCGCCTTTGCAATGCAGCAGCTCTTTTGTGAGTTCTGAGCTGCAGTTTTCTCTGTTTAAGATCATCTCTGATATTATCCTCTCTGCTTTTCAGCTCCCTGAAATTCATCAAATGTTGATCTATTTTTTTAAGCATTTCCATGGGTTTACTCATTTTGTGTTTTTTGTTTGTTTGTTTGTTTTGCTTCACCCATTGAATCTTGAGAAGGACATGAAATGAATGCACTACATATTTCACCATCTCGTTAGAGATCTCATTTTTTTGGATGTAGAAAAGTTGTTTGTTAAATTTGCTGATCTTTTTCTTGGAAATTTTAAACCACATGTTATTTTATTTTATATGGGATTTTCCCTTTTAAAACATTATAAAACATTACAGACATTCTCAAAAGAATAGGAATATTCTAACATTTGTATATCCACTAATCGACTTAATAAATAAAAATGTTTCAAATAATAGTTGAGGCCTTCTGTGTAACTCTCCCCCATCACATTTTCTTCCTCTTCTGCAGAGGTGACTACAATTCTGAATTTGGTGTTTATTCCCATGCATGTCTGTTTTTTCCCCATTTCTGCCTGGATCCCTAAATAATATGAAGTAATTCTCTTGCATTCTTTTAAATGTCCTATAAATGGTATTATCATAGTAGTGTATGTATCGTCTGTAAGTTGTTTTTATTAACATTATGTTTTGAGATTTATCTATGTTGATACCTGTAGCTCTAGTTCACTAATTTTCATTGTTATATAGTACTACATTATATTATTGTAACTAAATAGTCATTCTTCTATTTATGAAAAATAATATTTTAATTTTTGGTTATTAAGAGTGATGCAGATAACTTTATTTACATGTCTTTTTGTGCCTATGTATATAACACTGTCTCTAGGTCAGCGGCTTTCAAACATTTTTAGCCATAATTTATGCAATAAAACATTTACATTGAGGCCCACTTATTTAATACATATTATGTGAGTCCATTATAGATACCGGGAGCAAGCGTTTCATGACACTACACCTGCCCTTGCTGTAATCCATTCTGGCATATCCTATTTGATTTGATTTTATCTCATTAAAAATGTTGGTCTCAACCTACTGAATTGATTTCTTGACCAATAAAAAATTGGTTGCAACCTGTATTTGAAAAACAGTGCTCAATGGTGGATACTTAAGAGAAGCTTGCTGGGTGCCAGGATTATGCATATTATTACACTTTATCAGATACCTCCATGTTTTTCCCAAGGTGATGGTACCAAATTACATTTCCATCAGTACTACCTGAGAATTTATTTAATTTCACATCTTTGGTGAAACTTGATGTCAGACCTTTTTATTTTTGCTAATCTTTTAACTACGAAATTGTATTGCATTGAGATTTCATTTTGAATATCCAGTGAGGTTGGCCTTTCATCCTTTTTCTTCTTTAGTATTGAGATTGCCCCTTTTCTGAATAGCCTTATCCTTTGCCCATTGTAAAAAGTTTTTTTGTTTTTTTTTTGTTTACCGTTTCCAGTTGATAAAGATACAAATCTCTTTTATTTCTGCTGTCTTTTGAGGCACAGAAGTAAAAATCATCCCTTATAAGGCTGTGGACAAAAAGATATTTTTCTATATTGTCTAACAAAGTTTTAAAGTTGGTCTTTAAATGGATTTTTGCTTGTAATGTAAAGTTGAAATCCAATTTCATTTTTTCTTCATTTATTGAAAAGTGAATTTTTCTGTCTTTATCTCTGCCTTCGATAGTATCTCCCTCTAGCAAATTAAATATCCACATATGCATGGGTCTGTGCCTGGCCTCTCTGCCTGTCTAACTGATACCTATCCATGTTTCAGTATAACACTCTCTTAATAATTGTAACTTTCTATTTTGTTGTCAGAGCTAGTAGAAGTAGATCCCCAATCTTTCTTTTTCTTCCCTCTCCTTTCGTTCACAAGCTGCTTTCTTTCCTTCCCACATGGAAAAACGTCCCCACGTATATAAAACAATAAGCTCACAAAACAATACTATATAGTTTCTATTAGTGTGAGTGTATATATGCAAGGGATAGAAATAGATCTGGAGAGAGAGAGAGAGAGAGAGAGAGAGAGAGAGAGAGAGAGAGATATCAAACTTGCAATCCAGGTATATGCTTTTAACTGAGAATCAAACCTGCGACTCTTAGGTGTGGGGGCCACCACTCTAACCACTGGGATACTGGGATACATTGTCCAGGGCATTTTTGTTTTGTTTTCTTTAGATTTCTTCCTAGATATCTTATACTTTTTTGTTATTGTAAATTTTTTTTTAGTCAGAAGTAGGTTTCCTACTCTTACTAGTATATGGAACCACAGTTTATTTTGGTTCATTGATCTTATATCTAGCAACCTTGCTCTAACACTTAATAATTTGAATAAAATATCTGTAGATTACCTTAGGTTTTTAAAAATTTAGACCATATATATATAAATTTTATTTTTACAAACAACGATAGTTTTTCCCTATTGTAGATTTTATATCTTCTTGTTTGACTGAACTTCCAGTTTGACTGTATCTCCAGTACAAAGTTGGGTAAAGAAGTAAAACTAACTTATTTTTTATTTTAAAGGGAATGTATCACTAGTTGTGTCTGCTAAATGCCATTTATCAGTCTGAAGAAATTATCCTTTATTAGTTTGCTTAAGGTTTATATTATGAATGGTTGTTGGGTTTCATTAAATGATCTTTCTTCAATTCTTATATTGATCATATGGATTCTTCTTTAATAAATTAAATTTGAAAATTGTAAGATTTTGTAATAAGTCATTCCAACATTTTTGGTCATTATGTATGTTATATACATTACTGATTCTGTTTGTTAATAATTTATTTACAATATTTATATGTAAATAAATGAGATTGGCCTGTACTTTCTTTTATTTTTGTTCTTTTCTGGTATAAAGGTCATACTAGCTTTGTAAAGTATAATAGGGGCGCTTCCCATTTTAATTGTGTATCTCTATTTTGGTTTCCTATCTATAATAATAAAAGCATAATATGCTAATTAGGCCAGACAGCCAAACGACCTTCTGGATGTCATTCTGGACAAAGCTCCATGGTGGGGGCCAAGGCAGAGGTGGTTAGGGGCAATCAGGCAGGCAGGTGATTGGTTAGGGGCGACCAGGCCGGCAGGCAAGCGACTAGGGGTGATCAGTCAGGCAAGCAAAGGTGGTTAGGGGCGATCAGGCAGGCAGGCGAGCATTAAGGGGCACTCAGGCAGGCAGGGTTAGGAGCCTGTGGGATTGGGCCTAAACCGGCAGTCAGACATCTCTTGAACGGTCCCAGATTGTGAGAGGATGCAGGCCAGACTGAGTCGCCCACTCCACCCCCCCCTTCCTGCATGAATTTGAATTTCATGCACCGGGCCTCTAGTTTAGTATAAATCTCAGTTTAATATGAGATAAAGATGATCTGTTCCTGGATTATTTGTAGAATTTATCTGTTAAATAGTCAGGGTAGTTTTAAACTATTGAACTCAGTAATAATAGTGGGCATCAGTTTTGATGTGTAATAGTTTTCTTTCATCTAAATTTACTTTCTTATGTTCTATTTCA